GAATTGCGACAAATGTTAGAAACGTTCGACGTCTTTTAAAGAATCGCAAACGTCTGAAGTAACGAGAATTGCGACAAAAACCTTGGCCAAGAGCAAGAGCTGTGCCGTTTGCAATTTGCAGAGAAACATGAAGCAGTTTGTATGAATAAGAAGTAACAAAGAGTCGTATTTACCGATGAAAAGAGGTGTTCGATTTAAACGAGCTTGATAGGCCTCCACTGTTGTTATCGTGATTTATCGAAAGGAGCGACAACTTCGTCGACTCATGGGAAGTATAATGATTTGAGCAGGTAAATTGGAAATAAAATTTATTACAAGAAAGTTAAATAGCAAAAGGTATATTGGACAAATGATTGAACGAACAAATTAACACATGTGCGGCACAAATTGCCGGAAATAATTACATTTTTCGATCGTGCAAAGTAAAGCAATACTTTATAAACAAAAAAAAAAAAAAAAAATTCGTGTTTTAGAATGGTCATTCAAGTCTCCGGACTTGAATATTATAGAAAATTATTGGAGGAATTTGTTGGGGGCGAGGGTCGTATGCCACAATGAAAGGCAATTAGCATATTAATAAATAAAAAAAATGTATTGTGGAGAAGTAGGAAGAACCAGACCCAAGAAAACTACTAAATCTTCAGCCTCAAAGAATGGCGTTATTAAACGCAAAATGGGTCGTACCAAGTATTAAACAATTATACAGAATATCTGTAGTTCAAGTTAAAAAATCAATCATCTGGATTGATTGATGTTCTTCTGAAAGTATTTTTTTTTTTTTTTTTTCGTATCTAAACTACATAATGTTCCATCTGTTTTATTAGATTACCAATTACAACGCTGAAATTTTTCTCAAACTTTTGTGCTCAAAATTACCAACTTATGGAGCTATTTTCTTAAGTGTTCCACTATAGAAACACGAGGATGAGATTAGCACGAATGTTACAGAATTTTATTTAGAAATTTGGCTAATAAAAGAATTTGCAAATTTCATTGTTTATCACTGCATTATATTAATTTTGACAAGGAACGAATTAAATTAGAAAAATGAAGGATAGACGAGGATCGAACGACAAACATCGAACGTTTGAACGAACACGTGCTACATATTTAGTATCGTTTGTCTCAAGTATCGTCGATATCTGAAATGTAAATTAGGAAGACGATCGTGATGCGTGTGTTGCTCACGAATTCGCCGGTTTCTAATTTCCGCGAGGAAAGTCCTTCGTGAGTACTCGTAACATGATTTCATGCTCAACTTGAGTAAAATTGTCGCCACTTACAAGTTAATTATAGCGACCTTGCGAGATCTCGTATCCGAGGCCGATTTCGAGCAGGATTTCCGCGAATTCGGAATTACTTCCGGTAACTAAACCCGTTCGACAAAGTGCGAAATCTCAGTTTCAAGTTTCTCCTTCCTAAATTTTCATTTTTATTATTGGAAGTTTCACGTTAGATTCATAATAATTATCAGAGGCTTTCGCAAATTTTTAACGAATCATAATAATTCTTAATTGTTAGATTTTCTTTACTAATAATTTCAATTATAAGTAATCTATAAAATGATTGTTTTTTTGAATAATTCTTTATAATTAATATTTAGTTAGTATAACATTAACAGTCTTTATTATTAATCTTAGCAAAAATCGAAGAATTTCCTAAGATATTTTTACGAGATTTTTTTCTTTTTTTTTTTCCTGTTTACCAGAATATTACACTTTGCAATAATTGCTTTCGATCACAATACAAGTTATCCAATTGTTAATCGAACTCTTTTTTTTTTAAATTAATCTTTTATTCATCTCTGATTTATCAGAGTAAACTGCGAATTTCAATGCATTACCAATTCAAAGATGCAAAACTTTGTAAAATAACTTAAAATAAAATACTGGTTACAAAGAAACTTCTGGCTTCGTTGCACTTCTACAAAAATTCCATATTTCATATTCACGAAAATTTAAATCTGCTGTCTGCCGGTGTTGTCAGGGATGGATTCGCATCATATTAATTAAGAATATTCCAAAATTTTTCCACGTTTCTTGAAAGTCTAAAGTACAAAGTAAAAAAAAGAAAGAAACGAGGCTCGAGCATAAACGACCTAGTTTATTTGCAAAGTATAAATCGATGCTAGTAGCTTACAAAAGTATTCGATCACGTAGACTTTATAAAGATTTTATAAATATATTATTTGTACAAAATATTTTGGAATTCCAGTCACAGATTACATTCTGGTAAAAAGCATTCTTCGTATTTTAATAAATCATATTAAAATTAATGGAACTATTTCTAGCATTAATTCTAAAATTAAAACTACTGTACACATTCAGTATAACAATTTTTGTTATATATTGCATATACTGTATATATTGTACATACATCTATATATATTGATTCAAATTGATTTCAAAATTTACTAATGTAATATTACTATCAAATACTAATTATCAAAATCATGACACATTACAGTGCTAATGAAATTTCAGAATGTAAAGCATTCACACGATTCTTCTACGATAGTCGGCAACTTTCATTTATTCTAAAAAAAGAAAAAAAAAATGCAAGAAGTGCAAGGCACAAACCGCGATAAGAATAAGGACGAGAACTCGCGCTCGCTCGAATCGATGGTTTAGCAGTTTTTTTAAGGTCGCGCGAGACCACGCGTGACCCGATTTTTTCTTTTTTTTTTTTTTTTTTTTTTTTTTCGGAAAGAAATTGCGAAAAACACGGCCGAAAGGCTTGCAGGAAGCAAGCCACGATATAGCGCATTGTTCGTAATTCTCGAAGGAGCGCGGGGCTTTTAGAATTTAAAATAGTAGCGAAATCGTCTTGCGAGGGAAACACAGCTGAGGAGGAGCTCTTTTGTCCTCCTCCTCTTTTCGCTGTTTTCTGGCTTCTTGATCGAACAAAGCGAGCGAAGGGACAGAGCTTTTCTCTCGGTGAAAAGCCGGCGATCACGCTCTATATGTTGATTGTCGGTAGTTATATAGCCCCCGTTTTCTCGGCGAATGCTTCCACCTTTTATTGTTCTCACTTGGCGATGTTTTCTTGTTTCAGTACTTGATGAGTGGCTGGGCGAAAGGATACAGTTTCCGGTGCCAGCCGGTCGACTACTCCAACAACGCCATAGCGCTCCGAATGGCCAACACGTGTTGGTGGTATTACATTAGCAAATTCACCGAGTTCTTTGATACCGTAAGTCTCTATAACGCTTGAACGCGATCGATTCAACACTGTTTATCTAGTGGTTATTTTATCTTCCTTAATTAAGATACCCCCATCTATCGTTCGAACACAAGTCATCTTACTTGCTTTTGAGATTAAATGTGTGTGCACCCTAAGAATTTTAAGTTAGTTTAAAGTATAGATTGAAATCATACATTACTATTTATGATTTAATTTATCACATATTATTATTTCCATTTAACTTTGTCAATTTGTTTTACCCGTTTAACTGTGTTACAGTGGGGAAAACATTAAAATTAAAAAGAACTTATAAACATCGATTTTTCATGTTGATCCTGACGTGGCCTTTATTTTTAATTTCCTTCAATGCACAGTTTATTTAGTTAATAAAAGATTGAAAAAGTTAGAACATCTTAATTATATTATTGTAAAGATTGGACGGAAGTTTATGCTGCTCTCGTCTAATGAAATCTTCTGACGATTAACATTATTTTAATTCGCGAGTTCCAACAATGGCAGACAATTTGGAAGAAATGAAGCATTTAAAATCATTAAACAATTGTGTTTATTAGCGAAGTCATTGACACTTTAATATATTAATATATTATACATGTATAAGTAGTGTGAACTTTCATGCAATTTTATGTTTTTGTGGGGTTAAATTGAATTTTAACTAAAAAAAAGTAGAATTTAAACGAATATGTTTCACCGTCGTTTTACTTATTTAAAAATTATAACGAGTTACTTGCTTATTCCAGATATTTTTGCGATTTAATTCTTTCGCGAACGCGAAAAATGTTATCGACGAGGAAAATACAAGTATTAAAATACATGAATATTTATCGTGTTCGAATTAAAGTTCAACAAACTTGTTAAAACGTATTGTGTGAATGATTTATCGATATTTTTGCGCAGTTCAATGACTTGTATTGTTTAATAAAAAAAAACGCTAAAAAAAAAAACAAATATGAAATCGAGTTCCACTGTCGAGAAAGCAGTATAGTACTGCAAACTGCTTGTACCGTGTTAATTGTGAGACGATTGTACCTATTCTAAGGTTCTGGTTTGGCTCTATGGTTTGGCTTATTGGCGTACGGCTAACCGCAAACTTGTATTTTTTTTCTTTTTTTTTTTTTTTTTTTTT